AGGAAGAAAGCACATTTTCAGATCACAACCTGCTTGCTATTATGAAGGCACCTGGAGTTTGCTGTAGAACAAGACACACAAAACCAGATAGCCCTCTGTGTCCTGCTCCATCAAAAGTAACCTCATCACAAAAGAAACAGATGTCCCATGAAAGACATGGAAACCTTTTTTCTATTCAAATGAAAGGCGAACAATTAAATATTGTGTGGTGTTAGCAATGCAAACAACAAAGTAATAGAGCAGTGATCGCAAATAACAATCATGTTGTGCTGTTTTTCATCGATTCCAAGGGCAGAAGGAACTATTGTGATCATCTGATCTGACCTCCTGTATATATGCAATAGAACTTCCCCAAAGTAATTCCTAGAGCAGATCTTTTAGAAAAACATCCAATTTTGATTTAAAAATTGTCCAGGATGGAGAATCCACCAAGACCCTTGGTAAATTGTCCCAATGGTTAATTACTCTCATTGTTAAACTTGTATGCTTTATTTCCAGTCTGAATTTGTTTAGCTTCAGCTTCTAGGCATTGGATCATGTTATACCTTTCTCTGCTAGACTGAAGAACCCATCATTAAATATTTGTTGCCTATGTAGGTATTTGCAGACTGTAATCAAATTGTACCTTAACCCTCTCTTTGTTAAGCTAAACAGATTGAGCTCCTTGAATCTACTGCATATTTTCTAGTCCTTTAATCATTCTTGGGACCCTTCTCTGAACCCTGTCCAATTTATCAACATCCTTCTTGTACTGTGGAAATAGGGTGACCAGATGTCCCCATTTTATAGGGACAGTCCTGATATTTGGGGCTTTTTCTTATAAAGGTTCCTATTACCCCCCCCCCCCGTCCCGATTTTTCACACTTGCTATCTGGTCACCCTATGTTGAAAGCAGAACTGGCCACAATATTCCAGAGGTGGTTGCTACTCCTGTGGGAATTCTGCACCAAAAAATTAAAAATTCAGTGCACATTTTAAAATTCTTCAAATTTTATTTGTCAAAATAACACTATGTAATCACACCAGTTTCAATTATTTTGGTAATTTATTTCAAAATACCAGTCAGTAAGTATGTCTGAAACAATACAGACACACAAAAATTCCCCCAGGAGTAGAGTTATAGAAACCCATATGACAATCCAGTTCCTGCTTCTCTGCTCCCTCCCCCACAGAGCCCAGCTGCACACCCCCACCCCTCCCACAGAGCCCAGGTGTGGGCCCCCCCCAGCCCAGGCACTCACATTCCCTACCCTCCTAGAGCCCAGGGATCCAGAGGGAGCAACAGCCTGATGCTGGGTCCTGAGCTTGCACAGAATTTCCTGCAGACTGTTGCCTCCTTACTTCAGGGCAGGCTGGGAACTGCAGCTGCTGGAACCCTCCAGTTCCCTCCCCCTCGTCTTGTCTTCTATTTGTGAGCTGGGGTCTGCCACATCCAGCAGTCCCCAGTGGCAGCCAATTTCTGTCAGGAAAAAAAGGAAATTCTGCGCACCTAACATTAATTTCTGCAAAATTCTGTATTGTGCAGTGGCACAGAATTCCCCCAGGAGTAGGTTGCACCAGTGCCAAGTACAGAAGTAGAATAGCCTCTCTACTTCTTGTGATTCTCCTGTTTAACCATCCAAGGATTACATTAGCCTTTTTTACCACACCATTGCTCGTGTTCAGCTGACTATCCACCACAACCTACAAGTTTTTTTCAGAGTCACTCTTTCCTGAGATAGAGGCCCCATTTTGTAAGTATCACCTATAGTCTTGTATACATCTAAAAACAAAGAAATTAAAGTGTGTGTTGTTTGCTTGTACCCATCTTACTAAGTGATCCAAAGCGCTCTGTATTAGCCACCTCCCCTCTTCATTATTTGTCACTCCCCCAATTTTTGTGATCTGAAAGCTTTATCAGTGGGTTTAGTGTTTTCTTCCAGGTGACTGATAAAAATGTTAAATAGGGTAGGGCCAAGAACTGATCTCTGCAGGACCCCCATCAGAAACACACCCCTTCAGTGATGATTCCCCCTTTGCAATTACATTTTGAGACCTATCAGTTAGTCAGCTTTTAATCCATGTCATGTTCATTTTATATTATTCTCATTTTTTAATCAAGATGAGATTCCAAGTCAAATGCCCCACAGAAATTTAAGTATATTATATCAACACTTATCTTTATCAACCAAACTAATAATCTCAAAGATAGATATCAAGTTAGTTTGACAGCATCTATTTTCTATAGACCCATTTTGATTGGCATTAATTACATTATCCTCCTTTAAATCTTTATCAAGTCCTGTATCAGCCACTCCATTATCTTGCCTAGGATCGATGTCAGACACAAGATCTTAATATTACCCTGGTCATCCCCTTTACCCTTTTTAAATATTGACACATTAGTTTTCTGTTTAATAGCCTGTCATTCTAGTTCTTGTAGAAAATGTGGCAAAGGCAGAATTTGCATGTTAATTATAAAAAACATCTTTCCAGTATTAGAATATGCCATAAATAGAGGCCTGTGCACTAGTGGTATTTAAAAATATTATGCTGTGGGCCTAAAATCTTAGGCAGGCAAATGTAGATGAGGTGAAATTCACTGCCCTCATATTGGGGAGTTGTATTTGGGCTATGTGGGTGGAGTGCAGGGAGGTGAAGTTAACTTCACAAATCCAGGGTCATAGCTTCTACCTGTGGCACTATAAATAATCTGGAAAAAGGGGTAAATAGTGAGGTGGCAACATTTGCCGCTGATACAAAACTACACAAGATAGTTAAGACCCAGTAGACTGAAGAGCTACAAAAAGGATCTCTCAAACCTGGGTGACTGGGCAAAAAAATGGCAGGTGAAATTTAATGTTGATAAATGCAAAGTAATGCATATTGGAAATCATAATCCCAACTATACATATAAAATGATGGCATCTAAATTAGCTGTTACCACTCAAGAAAGTTCTTGACATCATTGTCAATAGTTCTCTGAAAACATCCACTCAGTGTGCAGCAGCAGTCAAAAAGCAAACAGAATTCTGGGAATAATTAAGAAAGGGATAGATAATAGGACAGAAAAATATCATGTTGCCTCTGTATAAATCCATGGTATGCCCACATCTTGAATACAGTGTGCAGATGTGGTCACCCCAATCTCAAAAAAAGATATGGGAATTGGAAAAGGTTCAGAAAAGGGCAAGAAATTATCAGGGGTATGGAACAGCTTCCATATGAGGCAAGATTAATAAGACTGGGACTTTTCAGCTTGGAAGAGAGATTGCTAAGGAGAGAGAGATGACTGAGGTCTATAAAATCATGACTGGTATACAGAAAGTAGATAAGGAAGTGCTGTTTACTATTTCTCATAACAGAAGAGCTAGGAGTCACCAAATGAAGTTAATAGGCAGCAGGTTTAAATCAAATAAAAGGAAGTATTTCTTCACACAATGCAAAAATCCACATGTGGAACTCCTTGCCAGAGGCTGTTGTGAAGGCCAAGACTATAACAGGGTTCAAAAAAGAACTAGATAAATTCATGGAGGATAGGTCCATTAATGGATATTAGCCAGGATAGATCACTTGATGATTACCTGTTCTGTTCATTCCCTCTGGGGCACCTGGCACTGGTCACTGTCAGAAGACAGGATAGTGGGCTAGATGAATCCTTGGTCTGACCCAGTAGAGCCATTCTTATGTTCTAATGCTACTGAATAAAAACTTGAAACTAATACTGCTCTGTAGTCCTGGTACACCACATGGAATACATCATACAGAAATCTCCTCTTCAAAGGTTAGGGAAGCTTACAAAAAATAAAAGTGAGGAAAAATACAAAAGAGGACCAAAAATGATACAAGGATGGGCCAGTTCAAGAAGACACATCAAGAAATATGAAACATAAGAAAGCATCTAGAAAAAAATTGAGATAGTTTAAATAGATGGATTATAGTTATCTGCAGGTATTTATAAAGGGGATCATTCACAAACCCATAAGAAGTTAAGAAATGGCCTAAAGTTATCTTATGGAAAGAAAATTTTAGGTTCCATATTAGGTAGCATTAATACATAGAACAATTGGTTAGTATGCCAGACAGTATTTGCAGTGGCTAGCTAAGACATCAGTAGGAATGAGGCAGTGATTAGTTCTTCAAAATGCAAGCAGTGAATTTACATGACTATAGGTTTTTCTGAACCTACTATTCAGAATCCTGTTAAAAATTGCCAGCCAGCCTTAGCTTTCAGAAGAAGTTAGTCTAGTCTGATAACACTAAACAATCTACAGGTGTAGAATAGCAATTTCATAGGATCTGTTTTGACCACTTCCCAATTATAAAAATAACCAAGACAATATTTGTGATAATTTATTATTGCACTTGTAAGCATATAAACTGCATTACCAGAGGTTTTGAGCAAGTAAAATTGAGGCTTTTAACTTCAGGAAATATTCCAATAGTTCATGGTTTAGGATTTTCAGAATGTTACTAAAAAGGAAATAAGAAAAATGTTGCTAGAAAATATTGCTATTAAGAAAAGACTAATAGAATAGAAAGTGTATTTCCATATTAAGGCCTCCTTTCAGCAAAGCACTTCAGCACTTGCTTAAGTTTTATCATGTCTATTGGCCCCTAAATGTACAAGCTGACTATTTGGGTTAGAGGGTGTAGATTCTCACCAGAAAGCAACCAACTAAAAATATGCTCAGCTGTTTAAACACAATGGATAAAGTTTTCCTCTCAGTTTGTACCAGTTCAACTCTACTGATTTTGCAACAGGCACTATCTTAAAGTGGTTAGAAAGATTCTGCACCATAACAATTTTATTACCTTTATCATCAATGAAATATGAATCGCTGAACCAAAATGCAGTTTGCTGTTAACTATACCTTAAGTGTTCCAATGAGATGATATCCCCATCATCTGTGATTTAATACTGATTTTAGGCTCCCCTGCATAACTAATGAGCTTTTATAAATCTTCACCTGAAAAAGAAACCCCACTATAAATTAAAATTCCACTATATTGACAACAGCTCCACTTCATATATCTGAAAATTTTATTTAACAGCCACAACCGTTCAGAATAGTTACATCATGGCTTTGAAATATGATTGCCCACAGCTATGCAGTCCACTGAAATACTACAAAACAGGGAATAGAAAAAAAAACTGGAGAGTAGAGGAGCTTTGTTTGCTAAACTGAGCTGGTTTGTAGCAAGCTCCAACCCAGTATGGAGACAATGTCCTCATGCTTTCTCGTAGATTCTCTTACACTTGCAACCATTCATGTCGCATTCCTGGAAAACAAACAAAGAAATTAATTCAGTAGTGCATGAAAACTGCTGGCCTAGCCAGGGGTCCAGGCCCCTCTGGGGGGCCACAAGCAAGTTTCAGGGGGTCCACCAAAATAAACCAGAGAGCAGGTCTAGCATTAGTTCACTGGGGCCCAGGGCAGAAAGCAGAATCCCAAGTCCTGCTGCCCAGGGCTGAAGCCAAAGCCTGGGCAACTTAGCTTCACAGGCATAGGCCTGTGGCGTAGGGCCCTGGGCTATTGTCCTGCTTGCAACTCCCTAAGGCCTTTTAATCTACTGAAAACCAGTTGTGGCACAGGTGAGCCATGGAATTTTTATAGTAGGTTGGAGGGGGCCTCAGAAAGAAGACTGTTGAGAACCCCTGATATAGGCTAAATTACTGAACACAGAGATGCAGATGGCAGTTTAAAATAGATGAGTCTCTTTTAAAAGTTAGATTCTTGCTATAGTCTAAGTAGTCAATGATCAGAAGTAGGAATGCACTCACCACCACCAGTTTCCCATCCTCTATCTTCCGTGTTATTGTGGTCTCCTTGCCATCCCACTGCTGGAGCTGAGTCAATGTGTTACCATTTAAGTTGACAGTAGTCTGCAAAGAAAAGCAGGACTTAAATATTGTCCTCAGTTTCTTGAAGTGGAGGTGATACTCTCACACTACTCCAAGGCTCTACTGAAGTCAGTAGGAGTTTTGCCACTGACTTCAGTAGGGCCAGGATTTCACTCAAAATTTCTCATGGCTCCTGTTCTTCTTCCATTACTTTGCTCTTGTTCGATCACTGCTTTGGCACATTTATACATGAAACATGACTTAAACAGCATGCACAATTTAAGTGAACAAGACCTGCTGAGTGTGCCAAGTTAGTCTCCTCAGACATGTGCTTTGGCTTTTTGGATCGTCTACATTTGAATGTAGCACTTGGCACATGTGTTGCCAGTGCACGGTGAGGGATGGGAGGGTCTTGGCAAGTGGTCAGCATTCACACAAGGAGATAATTGGAATGAGAGAATCCTATGAAGAGGGAATAATCTCTCTTCACCCTCCACCTCCTCCCAGTCAAGTTGGAAGCTACTTGAACTCTTGTAAAGACAGGGAATATGGAGTCTGAGTCACATTTAATTTACTCCCTATATAGGTTATTCCACTTGTTATGCAAATTGTGAGATTGGATCACCAGATTAGTTATAGGGCCATATCCTGCTCCAATTAAAAATCAAAAGGCTTTTTTGACATTGAAGTTAATGAAAGTGAAGTTCGGCCTTTGGTATTTTTAACATGGGTCTGGAGGGCTACCAGTTTTATCATCCCAAGGTGTGTCACTGCAAATGATTAACCAAACATATCAGGCTTTATTTGGTTTCAGTATTTTACCATTTGTAGACTGGTTAGTCCATAAAAATTGATGGATTTCAATGGGGCTTGATGACGACAGAGGTACCCACCCACCAACAGAGCAGGGTACTACTCAACATGAGAGAGAGTGGGGGGAAACTGGGTCCCTAAATAGAATTTATATCTGTAACCCAGCCACTCCAGTGGACTGGGTGTATTCAATGGAAAAAACTTCTTGTACTAACCTGAACTTTCCTGCCGTCTAATGTCTTTTCCTCACATTTCTCACCCAGCTTGAAGCTGAGCTGTGACGATTTAAGGGTGCTTTCTGTTTTTATGGTGATTGTATCTCCATTCTTGATGATGTATACATCTGGTTTGGCTATGCCCCCCATTTTCCTCAGGGCTGAATTCACACCTACAGAGCAAGAGCAACAGTGTATCAGAGGGGACAGTTAAACACTAAGCCCACATAGAGGATCCCTTTTAATTATCCAGGGCAAGGAAGGAGAAGTTCATTTTGCAGACTCATTCATCCTGAATACTCCCGAGATCTAAATTGAATCTTTCTCCCCCTATAGGACCTGCAGGTCTCCTGAAAAGCAGTATCTCTGTTCATACAAATGAATGTGGAAGGTGGAAAAGGGGAAATAAGCTGTAAAGTAGTGTTACAAGAAGATTGTGTTCAAATTTAAGTGAACTGTTTAAAAAGTTCTCCAGCTGACTTTTCAAACTATAAAATTAATCCACTTTCATATTTACATTTAAATGTATATTATATAGATTTATTTCTTCTAACTTACTTATGGAACACCCAGCTGTCACTCTAGACATGTGTGTAGAATAATAAAATGCACATTTTCAGACCAGTGTCAAAAGTATTAAATCCCCCCAAACTAGAAGACTCCCCTCTGCAGAAAAAAGCTTAAGGGAAAAATATGAGCTTTGGAGCATGACTTGAAATTCAACAAAGTAGGACTTTAGGACACTATTAAAGGAAGCACTTGAGGTCGCTTCATCAAAGCACCTCGCCTCCAGCCCCCTCTTGATTAATCCAGTGAGTGCTTTACCCAACTCAACAGGTTTCAGGCTTTGGGGTTACTCAGGACTTTCACCATGCAGGGCTTGATACAGCAGCTATTAATCAGCCATTTACATTGCAGCCAACAATAAACTGGAAGCCAATGCAGAGCTCCAGGGTGAAATTCTTTCTGCAATAAGTGTCACTAAGTCAGTCAGAAGCTGCAGTCTGTAGTAGCTGTAGTTTGAATAGTCTTCAAGTACCCTCACATACAGCACAGTGCAGCATTCCAAAATGAAGCTGATAAGGGCATACATTACTGTGGTGAGATCTGCATCCAGAACAGAAGGGCCTGGATCCACAAAGGCATTACAATGCTCAGTATTACAACAACTAGAAGAAGAAAAAAATTACAGGAACATGCTACAATCCACAAAGCCTGAGTTAGGCACCTAGGCTCCCAATACAATGGATGGGGAGAGACAGGTGCCTTCAAATGCAATCCACAAAAGCCAGCATGCTTGGCAGGCAGCTACCTAAGCTAGCCATTGGGAGATGCCCAAGAGAGGGTTGTGTACTAAGCCCCTCCTGGCTCATCAAGATAGGTGCCTAAGTCCAGGCTGTAGGGAAGTAGCTATCTTTGCTTAGCAATAGTGATCCATGAACGGGAAGCCGATGCCTAGAGTCAGGTGGCTCCAGTACCTAAACTGTTTCTTGCAGGAATGGGTTAGGTGCCTGCCTTGCTGTGCACAAAAGAGCTGGAGGAGGAGCCCACTTAATAGCTTTAGCTCAGTAGTTAGAGTACTTGCCTGGGAAGTGGGATATACAGGTTAAATTCCCCACTCTGCCAGAAGCAGGGGAAGAAAGGACTGGAGCAGGGGCTGCCCACTCTCCTGTTGAAGCTGCTCCACTGTGGCAAAATAATGAAAGAGTGATTGGAGCAAGGGAACTGGGCTATCCCACATGGGTACTCTAACCACTGGAATACAAAATTATTCTGTCTCTGGCCCAATGACTATATAAGTATTTATACCCAGTGAAACCTCATTGGGGGGGTGGAGGGGAGGAAGCAGCACAGAGAGACACAGACACTCTGCAGCATAGGCACCAACTTCTACTGGCACCAGTGGGTGCTTCACCCCCCTCTGCCCTTGACCCTACCCCAACTCCACCCCCTCCCTGCCCCTATTCCAACTCCTTCCCCAAATCCACACCCCCACTCCTCCCCCCTGGAGCTTGCTACAGCTGTTTGGCGGCAGCAAGCGCTGGGAGCTAGGTGGAGGAGCGGTGATGCAGTGTGCTGAGAGGAGGAGGCGGCGGTGGTGATGTGGGGCAGGGAGCTTGGCTGCCAGTGGGTGCAAAGCACCCACTAATTTTTCCCTGTGGGTGCTCCAGCTCCGAAGCTGCCATGGAGTCGGCGCCTATGCTCTGTAGTCTAGTGGTTAGGGCTCCCATCAGGAAGGCAATCTTGAGACCCAATTATGACACAGGTGGAAGTGGAAATACCATTGAAGAACCAACCCTTTGTAATGTTAAGATTGTAGGTGGGGTCTGAAAATGTGAAACTGTGGCTTGTTGACAGACATGTAACTGCTCTGAAGGTAATATTTAGAGCTGATCATCTGGACAGGAACAGTAGAAGGAGCTCTGTTAAGTGCTAACAATTCCTTGCAGACTATATTTAGAGCCATTCACTCTTTCAAAACTATATTCCTAGCAAAATCTGCATTCAATCTTGAAAGTTATTCAGATTTAAAATCTAAATTCACATGGAGCCTAAATATGCCCTACGCTAACTTAAATATGCTTTTAAAAAAAAAAGTGTTGATAAACATGTTAAGGGTGGTGATAAAAAAAATAAGTCAGAATTCAGGCGGATACCTCTTTTCACACTTTTTTTCTGGGGGTGAATGGATGGGGTGGTGGGGAAGAGAGACGGACATGAGCTAAGGACCTAGTGTGTTCACTTTAACTTTAAAATTTTCCAAGTGTGTGGTTGACTTGTACCACAAACAAGAGTTATATTTTGTACTTCACAGAGACTGTCTTTGCAAGGTCTGATTTTAAGATCTTGATTTAGATTTTTTTTTTTTGGAAACAAACATTGCCTGTCCCCACTCTTGTTTAATGTCATAAGCCGCATAGCAGGAAGTTGTATTGCTTTGCTATGAATGTTTACAATATCATAAGCTGCACTATCTTGTTATGAGGCAATTAACAATTAAACAGTTTATCATTTTTTAAAAAGTTTTTTGAATTCTTTATGATTTAGGGTAGGATTTTCAAAAGTGCCTATAGGAGTTTTTTGAAAAAGCTCACCTTAACTCTTAATTTTGCTGTCTCTGGCTTGCAGTACAATCTGTCACAGTACAGCAAGTGGCTTGGCAAGGAACAATCACACCACATTGTGCTGCAGTAAGGCCATTAAACTGTTGTAGCCAAATGTACATTTTCCCCCCAGGCTATCTGCATAGCCAGTCCCCCGTTCCAATTACTCTTTCGTTATTTATCCACAGGGGAAGAGCTTCAATGAGGGCACCTCATATCGGAATATCCCATAACTCATCTTGAAAACATGACCCCAAAAGATTCAAAACCCATTAGGGAAATTAGAAGGACCCCAACAGTTTTTTAATTCAATCTCAGAATTGGGAGGAGGGGGGCTCCCTTGAGATTTTTGAACAGTTGAGATTGGCAATTAATTTAAACTGGGAGGAAATTTTCAAGGAAGAAAATACTTGGGCTAGAAAGTGAACTAACTGGTGGTGCTACCACTGGAACGGTTAAGGAATACAGATACATTTTACATCTAGCAATAGAAAGTCTCTTCGATGGCATTTTGTATCCCAGTAGCAGCTGCATTGATATAACCCCTTCTGATAATCTACTATCAGACAAATTCAGGTGAGAGCATTACAGTGCAAATTTAATAGAAATTAGGAAGAAGCTGATATTTCCTACTCCATTCTCTTCTCATGCTATCATTTACCCACCTGCACTTAACACTAAAGACTGTCATTTAGCTGAAAGCCTGCCTGCACATACACAGGTTTCCAATCTATTATTGGAATGTTAACATAAGGAACTGTGATTCTAGTCAGTTTCAATACAGTGTGCTCTGATTTTGCAGATTTAATGCACAACACAAAAACTCCTCTCAAACCAGATAATATGCAAGCTACTTTGTTTATAACAATAAGAAATTCAAGGTGTATATACCACTGAGTCCCAATCGGCTCTCACTTCCACTGATGTAAGTCTGGAGAAATTCCAGTGAGTTATTTCAGTGGAACTGAGAGCAAATTATGGTCCAGGGGCTTAGACATTCAGCAAACCACGAGGTTACAAGTGCCTCACAGCAGATGCTTTGTTTAGGCAATGAATGCCTAGATGTATTGGTGCTCCCCATCTCAGGTACAGTATAATAAAGACTAACATGTACACATGTTCATTTTCTTCGTTGGATAGATTTTGTTTTCTGTTCTTCTCCTCTTTCCCTAACCCCAGGGCAGGACCAAAACCAGTCCACGAGGTCCCCTCCCCAGGAGGGTGTGCTCTGCCCAGCATCAGCTTAGCCAGCAGGGGCGAGAGGCTCTTGCTATTCAAGCCATTGCGCCAGGTCGCAGGGCTGCTTTTATGTTGTCGCCCTGGGAATTGTCTCCTTTCACTTTAGTTAGCAATCTAGTCCTAGGCGGCTCCTAGCATCAGGCACGGAGACGCCCCCGCAGACCCTGGACAGAGCATCTGAAGACGCCAGGCACAGAGCTTTAGAGCCCAGACGAACTAGCAGAGTGGAGCGAGCGCCGGGGGCCCAAAGAAGGGGCACCTTAAATCTTAGGTCCTTACCCTCCCCCCACCCACCCATCTCCAGGATCATACAGACAATACTAATAAATTACACATAGGTACACAAGAGAGCGCGTTTTCTTCTTCCAGCGGGCAGCAACCATGGGATTTAGGGAGACAGTCATCGAAATCAGAGGCCACCAAACCTCATTTCCTTCCCCCAAACTTAACAGCCAGGGAGGTCCTGAATGAAAAGTCCTCGCTGCCCAGAGTGGCTGGCGGGCGGAGAGAAGGGACGGGACATTCCTTTATTTTCTATCCAGGAGCAGAAGTAGCGAGCCCCAGCACCTAGCCCGCCGGCCACCTCCACCTTCCCCTCCCTCAGGCGGGGAGCGAGGATATTAATCCCGCACGGTCTCTCTGCCCCGCCAAGGCTTCCTTACCTAATTCCTTCATGTAGTCATCAAAGCCTTCGGTGAGGACGAGGGTCCACTTGCCTACAAAATCCTCGATGCTCATGGTGCCGGCTCGCCAGGAGGTGTCCCGCAGGCGGTGGAGGCTGGAGGACGCTGTAGGCTGCGGAGGGGGGACGGAGGGGCCTTTATCCAGACGCCGCGGAACATGCGCTGCCGGGGAGAACCAATGGGGACCGGCAACGTCAGGGATTCCGACTCCCGGCCCTCGCCCGCTTTGCTCATCAGCCCCCGGGACAGCAGAGTGGGGTGAGGTTCACGCCGCCGCCTGCCAGGAGAGCGCCTGCCCCGTCAGCGCCTGCAAGCAGAGACTTGCTGCCGGCCGGCGGGCGCGGGGAGACGAGCTGGCATTGCTGCCGCCTTGCCAAAGGACAGTGCTCCGGCTACTGGAGCCCGAAGGAAGAGTGCACCTGCTCCGAGGTTTCCAGCGCAGCTCCCCCGGCCCCCGAGCATCTGCAGCCCGAAAAGGGTCACACCGGGGAAAAGGTACCGCTACAGCCATCTGCATCCTGCCAGTTTGGGTTACCAAGCCCCCAAAGTGTCCCACGATCACTATAGTGAACAAGTGCCGCGCACACACACACAAAAACGCACACAGGCGTCCAGGCCCTGGGGTCTACTGCAGCACCAGTGCCGCAAAAACCCCTGATCCAGCACCTGCGTCCTGCTGGATCCAGACAGATCTTGGCCCTAAGACTCCAGATCGTAGTGACTAACTAAACACGTCTAGCTGCACCTGGACCGTCCTGCATTCTGGCAAACGAATGCCACAAAAATGCAGAATCTAGCGCATGGATCCTACTAGAGCCACCCAATTTTGGCTCACGTTCCAAGGCCTGAAAAAAGAACAAGTGTAGCTGCTCTTACTGCACCAGAAAATCCAGCACAAACTGATGCAAAACCTGGATCTTGCACCTGGATCCATGGAGCTTTGCAATTTCTGGTTCTGACCACCAAACTGTATGATTTGTTATTAATCATTTTTTATGGTAGTGCCTGAAGATCAGCCAAGAATGGGTTGTGCTAGGCGCTGTACAGATACAGAATAGTAGACAGTCCCTGCCCAAAAGAGCTTACAATCTACATCTAAATAGAAAACAAGGATAGCCATTCCTACTACACTGGAAAAATTGAACTCCTCATTCATCCCAGCCTAATAACACTGGAAAAATGCACTTCTGATACCTGGGCCTTGCCAATTTTTAATGACAATGCTCCCAAATTCTACTAAATAGACAAAACATAGCAGCTATTAGCTACCCACCACAAAAACATGTATCTGGCACCTCGACACTACTGAATCAAGCTAGTTTTTTGTTCCCAAAATTCTACCAGCTAAGTAGAGGAGTGCAACTGTTCCAGTTCCACTAAAAACTACAGATCCCAAATGCATCCCTACTCAAAAGCACCCCAAAGATATATGCAAGTTCTGGAGTGGCTGGATCATACCACCTTTTTGGCCCCATGCTATCAAAACAGACAACACATGGTGTCACTCCTACTTGACCGGAAAAATCCATGCTCCAGCAAATCTCAAGATGCACCAGGGTCGGAGTGTTTGGGTGCAGTAGAAGCAGCTACGCTTGTTTTCTATTAATGTCATGGAATTTAAAGTTGAGGATCAAAAATTGAATGAATATAGCAAGATCCCTGTGCTGGTTCTGGGTTTTTGCACCAGGATACCTCGGGGTTCTGAAGTGTTCTGGTGCAGTTGGAGCAACTGGTCTTGTTCTCTCTTTAGGCATTAGAATTTGCTGCAAAGCTAATCCATGAAGCTAGCTGGAAAATTTTGAAATTCCAAATTATTCATTGAAAAAAGGGACATATTTTTCACCAAAAAATCATCCCATTTTTTTGACCAGTTCTTGTAATCAACCAGGGTTTTTTTTGTTTTGTTTTTTTTAAAAAAGAACCTGTACATATCCAGTTGTTCAATCCCATTTGGGGGGAGGGATAGCTTGGTGGTTTGAGCATTGGCCTGCTAAACCCAGGGTTGTGAGTTCAATCCTTGAGGGGGCCATTTAGGGATTTGGGGCAAAAATTGGGGATTGGTCCTGCTTTGAGCAGGGGGTTGGACTAGATGACCTCCTGAAGTCCCTTGCAGTCCTGATATTCTATGATAAACCAAACAAGCAGTACAATATTCCCTTCCTGGTGGCACTGGGTTGTCAGTTACTGCTCTATATGTCCTTAATCTTCAGTAACTCTATTTTTAAGAATATGTGAATAATGTCTACTCACAAGAAAGCAAGTCACATTATTTTCTTGTCATTAAATAGCTAACTTTAAACATAAACACTTCAGTTTCCTTCCTCTTTGATTTTTCTTGCTTGCGCAAGTGGATCTGAGTGGGTTTTAAATTAGCCTGATGTTTGCTATCTATTTCATGTCACAACAGCTACTGTGCTGTCAGTCTGGTAGTCTTGATTTCAAAAAGGATAAATTAAAAACCATCTGATTACAGATCAAACAGACCATCTGTTAGTCACAATCTTTAATGTATTGGGAAGCACTGAGTCTTCTTTCTTGTGACTGAGCACAAGACGGCAGGATACGCCTCCCTAGAAGCAGAAATCCTGCCTTTACTATACCATTGCAAAATATTAATTCCTGATCCAGGACTTCTGAAGTCCTGTCTGCAAAGGGTTTACGTGCTCATAGACTTCTGCTTCACCCCCTTGGCAATACAACAGGGGAATGGAAAATACTCTATTTCCATCTAGTGGTGAGACAATACTCCTTTACCTGAAATGTAGGTATACAGCTAGAGATCTAGTTACCCGTGTATCTATAGTGATGACAATTCTTGTAATTTTAGCATAAGTCTTATGATATTTGGTGTTTTTCTTAAAGTCCCAGCTCCAGCAGTCATGGGAATATGGGAGAATCTTAGCTTTCATTTTTAAAAAGTGTCTAGCCCCACTAGTTTGCAAAGAAAGCTTGAAAATCTAACCCAACTGTACCCTAAGGCACTAAGGACAAATACAAATTATCCCAATTTTTAAAGTAAATCAAATACATTTTAAGATAGTCCTGTGATTTTTCAGGGGAAATGCTGTCTAATGATTTTTAAATATTTGGGATAGGCATTGTTAAATTGTATCTATATCTCCAATAGTCAAACTTAAAAAAAATTTCCTTGACATGGGAAATGCTGCTGGAACTGGTGATAGCTCAGACAAGAGAAGATACTTTGTAATGTGACCAATGTAGATGTATCTTTCTGCACACACGTGCATTGCGCTGCAACATATTATTTATGTTTGATTACTTTACATAATGTTGATATTGGCCAAACATATCAAATATGGGTGAATGACTTTAGGCACCTAAATAAAAGTGGCTGCATTTTCAGAAATGCAGAGCTCTCATTGGCTCCCACTCAAATTTCTCTTCAGATTTCTCTCTATAAATCCTTATTCAAGTCTGAGTTCGGGTTGGCATCAAGTTCGGACTACCTTAGAAAGAACCCCTCTCTACTGGCCAGCTTCCTCTCCACTTCAGCCACAACCAAGGGGAAGGAAAATCTCTACGTTTACAGTGGAGCACAATGAGGCCAATCCATGTGCCAAGTGTTACAGTTCTAGTCTGGGTAGGATGAGCACTTTGAGAGTGTAATGGACCTGAAATTCTGGATGTGCCACTTGTCGATCAATATTGTCCAAGAGGAATAGAATAGAATCAAATTCAGAGCAAAGAAACTACATAGCCAAAATTAGAGACAACATTTTGACAGCTTGGGCACAGCCACAGAGGGATAGTACAGAAGCATGTTGACCCCAAATAGGCAGGTTCTGCTTGACTTGCGTACGGGTGGGGAGTAATTTTGTTGTTTATCACAGCAAGGGCAGAAGGTGGGGAAAGGATGCAAAGAGCTCTTCCCTCTACACAAGACACCTGTGTATGATTCAGAGAGATCATGGACTTTGACTGCAATAAGAGCTGGGAATCGGGGCCAGCTAGCATTACTGGCAGATGAGGTTTCTTCTAATGTGACCATAGTCTCACTTCCTGCATGCCAACCAAGGGAGGAATTAACGTCTTTCAAAATTACAAAATGCTGCTTGGGCAGGGCACCACCTCTCCATCCGCAACATATTGCTGGCTTGTTATGCGAGGCATAATTCTGTCCCAGATGTTGCCTCATTAAAATGCCCATCTACTTAATGTGGGAGGAACCTGTATAAAGTGGCAATCTGATAGTGTTATGCGTGGGCTTTATTGGGCAAGAGAGAAGGACTTTCTTTCCCCTGATGTCTAGAGAAATGGCCAAACTCTTTCTATACCAGACTCCTTATAGATGTGCAGTGGGTCAGCACGTATTGAAGCCTTGAAAAATTGTCCAAAAATATTAACAGCACAAACAAAATCTACTCACCTGCCCTTTAGCAGTAAAAAAGCTAATAGCATTCTACTAGGCCATCGAAAAAAGTTACTCACTTCTCCTGCTCCGTGAGTAAGAAGAATTTTGCAAGGCTGACTGTTTCTATTTCATATTGTGTCTGGGTGGTACTCTCTTGCCAGCTATGTAGTCACTGAGCTAACAAGATGAAACATGCTGATGTTACACAGCTGATGTGGGGTAAGCCTTACTCAGTTCGAAAGTTATTACGATACTACATTGGGAACTGTGAAGCTATGTGTGACCCTTGACATTTGCATGTCAATACTCTCACTATCCTTTAGTTTACAGATATTTCAGTAGTGTCTGAGCTCTGGGAAGAAGCTGAAAGATTTGGGTGTGATTCTGACTGCAGTGGGTTTTATGTGTAAGTAGGGCCCTACCAAATTCATGGCTATGAAAAATGCATCACGGACCATGAAATCTGGTCTCCACTGTGAAATCTCCTTGTGTACTTTTACCCTATACTCTACAGATTTCATGGGGGAGACCAGCATTTTTCTCACATTAGGGGTCCCAACACAAAAAGGGGTCACAAGGTTACTGAAGGGGGATCACGGTATTGCCACCCTTACTTCTGCACTGCCTTCAGAGCAGGCGCCCAGCTCTGAAGGCAGCTCCCCACCAGCAGCAGCACAGAAGTAAGCAATGCTGCAACCTCTCCCACAACCGTCTTTTGGGTCAGGACCCCTACAGTTAAAACGCCCTTAAATTTCAGATTTAAAT